ATCTCAAAAAGCTAGAATTTAATTTTTTTTTCGTTTTCGAAATGAACAATTTTCGTTCTCAAAATCAATTAACATGGAAAATTTGTCATGAAGGTTAATTCGTGTAGAGATACGAAGAGCGCGCCTTCGATATGCGACTCTAGCGGATTCAACCCCTATTGATTGGAGTCCGTTCCAAACGCTTCCACCCCTCTAACATGGGACCGACCCACGTTCATCCCCTAGGTAGGTAGGAGTGTCCCTCTTACATCCCTCTTCTGCTGCGAGCCTGCTGTCAGTGAACATCGCTCTGACAGGTATGATAGATTAGTTTGCAGAAAATAGGGAAATATTTGAAAACAACGTTCTAATGAGGTAGATAATGTGAAAACATTATGCCACAATCAATTTGATGAAATAATTTTTCACAATTAATGCATTTTTAGACTTTAAACGTACGAGGAACTTAGGTGATTACGTCATCATGAAGGTCCTTCCATATGCAATGTATGATCTGTTAATTCGAATGGTTTTCGATTGCTGGCGATGTTTTATATTGCGAAGAAGGCTAAATTGGACGCGTTTAAGGGGATTTCTTTATTTGATAGACGTTTTTCCTGCCAAATTTCTAAAGCAAATACAATACTTGGTTGATGAACAGGACGCAACAGGTACGAAATGCAACAGGCTTTCTTGTTCGTGGGGCGATCAATATATCTATGACTTACGGTTCAGGACTTGCATTAAATATTAAATTAAAGAATTTTCCGGATTAAAGAAATCGCTTACAATAAACAACTTTAATTTCTTTTTCAAATAGTTCGCAATTGTGTACTGATGGTTTTCACGAAAAAGAAAAGCAACTAATCGATAGGCTACTTTGTTAAATTTCATCTTAGGTTCGCATTTTTTTGAAGGACATCAATCCCTCTTGATACTCGAGACTTGCTGCTTCCTTATATAGACATTTTTAGATAAAACATCACGGCTTATTGATATTATGGATGTCATTTAGAAATCCAGACAAGCTTTAATATAATAGATAAAATCAAAAAAGTATTTTGAAATGTTTAAAGGCGGAAGGACTCTTGCATTATTTAATACCTCTCCAGAGGATCCTCAGTATTTTGAATCTGAGGGAGGTAAGAATATAATTGATTTGAAATTCTGACATGATACAATTAAAATAATTAAAGAGGACACATAACAAAGATGGAGAGGATGAAATAAAATAGTCCTTTGAATTATTGATTGCTAACTGGGGTCTACTCGATTATCAGGACTTTTAATTGCCTATGTATTTATTTTTACTCTTTTCATAATTAATTCGTTTTGGCCCTTGTTAGTTAAGAGTATTTTGTGAATTGATAAAGTATTGATTTTATCATAAAATACTTTTACGTCGTGTATTGAACAAGTAATTTTTCTCAAAAATCAGAACATTCATTAGAACTCAATCAGGATGTATTTGGAGATTTTCTTTTAGTCAAATGTATGAAATTTGTATCTTCGTAATATTGTTAGTGTTTTTTTTGGTGTAATGCAAAGTCTGACCAAAATATATTTTAGTTGGTTGGATAATGTTTTTAGAAAATAACTTGTCTACTTATTTGCTTTTCCTTACATGCATGCCCTTGTCATTAAACTGCATAGACTGGAAGAGGAAACCATTAGTATAGACAGAACATTTATGTCAAGCCCTGAGGTTACACCATAACTGCTCTTCTCCTTGTACTTCCCATTACAATAAAATAATGTCCGATTCTAGATGTTGCATGTAGCAAAGAATTGTTTTTTTGATTATTTTCTTTTGTATTGTTCTGCTGAGAATGATTAAATATTAACAATTTAATACTGTTACTTAGTAACTAAAGAGAAGTTTCTGTTTTCAAGGTCTACTGTTTATGAATTATTAAGCCTTGTACATAGTTCGCACAGATTAAGTTTACCCTCATTATTTTTTTACAAATATTTGTTTTCAAAGCTCATGATTTTGTGGAAATAAAAAATATTTTTGGTTCCTATTATAATGCATTATTACTCATCATGAGTTTTTGAAATATTATCTTTTGCATTTCAGTACCTCAATAAAATGTGTAATACAGTGCACATTTCAACAAGTTCAATTATTCTTTCAGAAGAAAGAAATGAAAGAGGAACAAAAAAGGTCAGTTAAGTTTTTCAAGTCATTGATATGTTACTGCTATGGTGAGTATGTTTTTAAAAAGTTTAGGTGATGTGAATTTTAGAGATAATGTAGACTTCCCTTTTTTATGAGAGAATTATATTATTAGAGAATTTGTGTGACATTCATCAATGATTGGTCATGATGATTATAGCAAATTTGTGCATCCTTCACGGTTTCTGTGAGGAGATTCCAGTGATCTTTACTTTTTGATAGACTTTGATCATCTTGCAAACTGTAAATTATTAATGAGGTCTGTATTTATAAAATTCAGGTCTTGTATAACTGAAGCTCACTTTCTATTCATCATTCTCTTCTCCGTTGTTCCTTTACATGGCCAAGGGAGTTAAAGATGTTAGTGTGAAGGATCTAAGTAATCCCACCATACAACATTATAGAAATGAAGTTGTATTGACTTCAGAGAGTTATTTTAATTTTATTGGGTACATTTTCTAATACTTGAGAATATTGAATGAACACATTGTTATACAGTCAAAAAACTGTTTGTTATATACTGAAAATACTAAACAAGATGCTAAGCTTTGTCTGTGTATCTAAACCATGTTGTCTTTTTTAGAAGTATATAAAAATTTTATGAAATAGCATTTTACAAGAATATTTGGACACATTTATAATGAACTTTTAGAAAATATGAATTAGAGGAAAAAGTTGAACAATTAAAATAAACTCATCCTCAAACATTGAAGATTCTGTATAATTATACATGTGCTATCTAACACCTGTAGAATGGGATAAAATTGAAGAAAATTATTAGTTAATTGTACTGGCACCTTTCTTTAACATAATAGTTTTGAATCAATTATGAATCACCACACAGAAACACAAATGTAATTATTGGAATTCCAAGTGAAACAATGACAATTGAAGGGTAACTTGTGTTGCCCCGATTTCATTCTTGGTCATTCAATAACATTATTTCAATACCATGGTAAAATCTTCCAAATAAAAATGGATTAATGTATGTGGACAAATAAGTTTCTGCTATCTATTATTCTTTTATTATAAAGAAGAATAAAGTTCTGGAGGATGAAAACTTGGCCTTGTGAGGGTTAACTAAACCCTTTGAAATTGTCTGCTTTATCAATTATTTTGTCAATAAATCAACATGCAACTACAATAGAAAACCAAATGTAAGTTTTGACTGAGAGAAAAATAGAGGGGTATCTTGATGAATGTCTCAATCCATTCTTAACATCAGTGTAATGCAAATGCCATGGAGGTTTTGAAAGGTGAGAAATAATCTTGAAAGATTTGCTAT